GGATGGATGGATGGATGGATGGATGGATGGATGGATGGATGGATGGATGGATGGATGGATGGATGGATGGATGGATGGATGGATGGATGGATGGATGGATGGATGGATGGATGGATGGATGGATGGATGGATGGATGGATGGATGGATGGATGGATGGATGGATGGATGGATGGATGGATGGATGGATGGATGGATGGAGGGATGGATGGATGGCTTCTGTGATAATGACGATGATGGTGATGACGACGATGTGACGACGAGACCGGAGCCATGGTACGTTGGGAAGACGACGAGGACACGGGGGGGGGGAGCGGCGAGCGGAGTTGAGGACCTTGGCCGCCTTTAAGGTCAGATGGCCGAGGTAGCTGTTTGTCCTTATCCTAGACCTCCTCAATTCCTGGACCTAATCTCCACATAGACCTCATTTCCCTCACTCTCCCCTCACACTCTCACACCCCTAGGGGCCACCGGGTCTCCCCCGGGGTGGTGGTGGAGCGTGGGGGTGCTCACCAGCAGCATCTCCGCCGCCCTGCCACATCCCATCTCCTGCAGTATGTTGGCTGCCCCCGCCGGGTCCATGGCCATGAGGCAGGCCACGGCCCGGGTGAACTCCAGCTCGTCCAGGTTGGCGGCTGCGGGACCCGCGAGCATCGCCTGAGGGGCGGGAGGGAGAGGGAGCGGGGGGTAGGGTGTGTGTGTGTGGGGGGGGGGAAATAAGTAAGAAGCAAAGGGCCATTCGTCAACATCCGAAAGGAGAATGGGTGGGGAAAGTGGGGGAGTGGAATGAGTGTGGGGGAGAGGGGTGAGTGCGGGGCTTGAAGGGAGGTAACGAGGGGAGTGACGCGCACAGCCGCGGCGTCAGTTGGCTTGGTGCTTGGGAAGACACACACTAAGCCAGCCCCAACCCAGGGAATGTTAGCGCGTAATGTTAGTAAGGACCGATAAGTCACAGGACGGATTCGCTCCGCCAAGGTCTGGGCTCTTATCTAAAGGTAGAATAACAAAAACGTATGTTTCCGAACTCTCTCTCTCCATTCAACATCATTCCAACTCAGGCTCCCTCCCGAGTATATAATACTCGTTGCTTAGGAGGCCGCAACGACTTCTGTCGTAGAGTGTCCCTTCGGACCACCAGACGGCTGGTTAGACCGAGGTGTCTGTCCGATTAGGGTAGGAACCCTGAAAGAGTGTCATTCCTTAATAAGGAAACACTTATAAATCTCAAGGTGTTCATAGACTGTTCATAGATCAGGAGTGATTAGCTCTGTAACGCTATAAGGCGCTACAACAGGGAACGAGGGGTCTCCCTCCTGGCGCACCGACGTAAAACATCTGTGCTTCTTTCGCACTGGTCGTCATCGTTCTGGTGCTGCTGCACTGTAAACACACCGGGGCAGTAACACGCCGGTGGGGTACACGGTCTCATGGCTCCTCTTAACGCCACGACGACCCCTTTTCCATAACAGCATTGGCCAGCCAGGTCGCATTACCAGACGGCTGGCCCCACAGCTGCTCGGAATATGCTTCCTACGGACCCCATGCATGCAAACTCATACCCTCCTTCCCCTCCTCCTCGCCCCCTCCTCACCGACAGTATGTTAGCCGCCAGGTGTGGCGCCATGGCCGCCAGCAGCTTCTGTCTCAACTCCTGAGGCAGAGCCAGCATCAGCCGGGCGGCAGTGGGCAGGTCCAGAGCGGCAAGCACATCCAGCTGCTCGGAAGAGGCCCAGGTAACCAGCTCATCAACGGCCTGAGCGGGGAAGGGGGAAGGGGGAAAGACGAACCACGAACGAGTGAAGCTGCTGCCAGGGCAAGGGGGAGGGGAAGGGGGAGGTAGAGGGGGAGAACGAGGAAGAACAAGGCGATTGGGGAGGCGCGCGTGCGCGCGCGCGTGTGTGTGTGTAGAGGGAGAGGAGGGGGACATACGCACATGAGACATACGCACACGGACAGGCGTCCGGACGTCGTTCCAACACCTCCTAAAACGTCGCTGTCCTTTCAGGCTTGCATCAAGAACACACACAAGGCCCCACACCCTCCCCGGCCCGGCAGGCAGGCTCGTCTTTTCCTTGCGCCCCCTCATCTCCCCTCACCTCCCCTCACCTCCTGTTGCTCCATTCCCCCCAGCAGTCTGGCCCCCAGCTGGGAGTTCGCCTTGATGCAGTTCATGGTGCTGGTCCACATGCCCCGACCCAGTACCCGGGCGGTGTAGGCGCGCATGCCCGAGGACATGACCGCCACGGCCTGAGGACGAGGGAAGGGGAAGGGAAGGGAGGGCAGTCGGTAGAGGAAAAGTAAGCCGAGCGGAATGGACGGGTCCGCTGTTTATTTCCCGCCCGGCTACTAGCCTCTCCCCTCCCCCCTCTTTCCTCCCATTCCCTCAATGTCCGTCCTAGTAAACCCCACCTCCCTGGCCGCCCTTCCCCCGCACCTGGGCCCTATCCTGGTCTGTCATGGCCGCCATCACCTCAGCCCTCCGCAGCTCAGGAAGTGCACCCAGTAGGATCACCTGGGGGGAGGGCCAGGAGGGAGAGGAGGAGGAGGAGGGGGACGAAAAGGGGGGGAAGGAGGGAGGGAGGCGAGAGAAATGGGGAACAGGGCCCCAGGAGTAGGATTGGAGGAGTGGGCGAATGACATGCATGAAAGGCAAAGACCCTCTTTACCCCTGAAACTCCGAACGTATAACCCCTCCAACATCACCTTTACCCCCTCACCTCGCAAAGACTGCAAAGGCACCCTCGAACCCCATGACTCCCCACAAAAGCTCCCCACAGAAGAGGCAATCCACGAAAACACAGCCTGCCGACCCTGAACCATTCCTCGCCTAGGCGCAACGCTTCCTGTCCCCCACCCACGCACCCACTCATCCACTCATCCACTCATCCACCCAACCACCTGCCTACACTATACCACTTCCCTCGCAAACTCCCCTATGTCTGGTATCTGCTTCAACCCTCATTGATGCGTCTTACCCCCCTCGCCTCCCCCGCCCCGGCGGCTGGAGAGGGCCCCACCTGCCCAACCCGGGTCCCCACCTGCGCCTCCGGGCTCAGTGCGGCCAGCAGGTGCGCTGTGTCCTCCGGATCCATTCCCTCCAGAAACTTGAGCCCCACACCCGGCCCCGCAGCAGCCACCGCAGCAGCCAGTTCCGCGGGGGAAGCAGTGGCAATACTGCCCGCACCGGTGCCGGTGGCGGTGCCCCCCCGGCTGCGAGCCTCCTCAGCCGCCCTACGCCTGGCTACGGCTGCCTGGCGGCGTTTCTCCGTCCGCTCCACTGCCAGCGTAAGGCGCTGCAGCAGACTCAGCTTGGTCACCATCAGCTCCGCCTCAGGGCCCCCGGCGGTGAGGCGCGGGTGGGGGGAAGGGGGCTTCTGGAGAGCAATACCCGAGGCTAAGGTCACCCTGGGACGGGAGGTGACGACGTTTTGGATGTTGGGACAGAGGCGGAGAGATGGATTTGGCGGAGGGAGGAGGGGATGGGTTGGATGAAGCGGAGGGGAAGAGCGAGCGGTGATGGATGGTTGTTTAGGGGTTGTGGTGGGTGGGGGCGTGTACGTGCGCTGTCATGAGTCAGGCACTCTCCTCCCCCCTCCCTCACCTCCCCCGATCACCTCGTCATCCTGGCCCCTCAACTCCTGACCGCAGCGCACCCACATTCCGGCCTTCTTCCTGCCCCCACATCAGGCCATCCTCTGCCAAAACCCAACTACCCCCTTCATCCCCAAACCCAAAACCCAAAACCCACTGCCCGCCTCTACCGCATCCCCCACCTTCTCCCTCCCTACCTCTTTGTCTGTGTGCCCAGTGTATGAAACGCCTGCTGCCACCTCAGTCGGGCGATGCGGGAGGTGATCTCCGTGTCCAGGGCCTCACCCAGCGCCCCACCCGCCTTGACCACCAGCCGACTGCCGTCGCGGGCACCAGGGGCGGCCTGGGAAGGAGCCCGGGGGGGCGGGGAAGGGGTCGTCGTCGCGGGGGAGGAGGTGTGGTGGAGTGTGTGTGTGTGTGCGCGGGGTGTAGGGCATGCACCGGGGGTTTAGGGCTTTAAAGCGCAAGCGGCGTGGTCCCCGTGCCACTCAACCCTGGCTGTGGAGTACCGGCAGGCAGTACGGCAGAGCGGCGGCACTGGGCACTCGGACCACACATGCATGCAAGGTTGTCTGTATACGTACGTGTGCGTGTCCGTTTGTAAGTATGAGAGCGAGGGAGAGGGCCCACGGACATTAACCGGCCATTGGGGTCATGCAGCCAGCACTACCACCTGGAACACGTCCACAGCGGTCTGCTGGTTACCCCGCACTTTTCCTCAATCGGGGGCTCAAGCTGCAATCCGCCACACATCCACACACATCTGCATGCACACACATCCACACACGCACACATCTCTACACGCACACATCCACACACACACACACACACATCTCTACACGCACACATCCACACACACACACATCTACACACACGCGCACACATCTACACACACGCACACATCTACACACACACACACACATCTCTACACACACGCACACGCAGGTGCGCGCGCGAGCTCACTCACCTGCAATGTGAGCAGCCCCTTGGCCAGCAGGTCGGCTTCCCTGCTCTTGTAGCGGGCGTTCTCTCTCTTGAGAAACTCCAGCATCTCGATCTCCCGGGTGAAGTCACGTCGCTCAGCCAGCTGGCCAGTGAGCTGGCCAGTGAAGAAGCAGGGGAAGAAGTGGGAGGGAGAGGGGGGAGGGGAGGGGGCGTAAGGGGGCCTTTCAGAGTGGCGCCAGAGGCGTTTGGAGGGGGAGATACCCCGGAGGTGGGGGCGATAGGGGACTCTGCTTGGTTTGGGATCATGTGCAGCAGGAAGCAGGTCGAAGGCCAGTCGTACTTTGGTTTGGGATCATGTGCAGCAGGAAGCAGGTCGAAGGCCAGTCGTACTAATTTTGGAGGAGGTATGGGTGAGTCGTATTAGGATGGGTCTTCATAAGGGGCCTAAGCGCCCTCTCGGCTCAGCAGGCAATGGCAGGCACCCACATGCATACGGGTGGGCGGACCATCCGAACATCCTTTTGTCTTGTCCGCCACTCTGCAGAGAAGCCTGGCAAGAGTAGGGATAAGCAAGCTCTTCGCAACTTCCCCGTCTTTCTCACACCTTCCGCACATTCTTGTACCTGCCCATCTCCCCCCCCCACACACACACACTCGCTTCCCCACCGGGATATAGGTCCCTCCCTATATCCCCCCTCCCCCTTTCCCTTTCGCCCACCTGGTTTATTTGCCTTTTCCCTCCCACTCCCACCCGTCCCCTTTCCGGCCCCCCGGCCCCCACCTGCTCCACCTCCCTCTGCAGCCCCGCAGTCCTCCTCCTGAGCGAGTCCACCGACTCCTGGTGGGCCACCATGAAGGTGTTCCAGGCGGTGGCCAGGGCACGACCCCGTTCACAACACTGGACCTCAACCTAGAGGTGCGAGGGGTTGAGGGGGCGCGGGGTTTGCGAGGCAGGGAAAGGGATAGAAGGTTAAGAAGGGAAGACGGAACGGGAGACCGCGGGCTTTAGGTTGGTCGCTCTACTGGGATTGGATGCGAAGGCTGGGGTCGGGCCTTGCTTAAGCCGAGCGGGGCTCCCCCCCACCCGCGCATGCGTACGCACATACATACATGTCTACATATACACCCACCTGACGTACGAGGTCTGCCAGGCACACGCACACCCCGACCGTTAGGCTGGTGGAGCTGTACGGCGTCATCAGGCTACGAGTGCTGCGAAGATTCAAACCATCGGAAGGGGAGCCACGCATGCGTCGTACACTCCGCCGGCCGGTGCCGCTGCCGTTGTCAACACCCGCGGCACTCGGCGTCGCCGTGAGCCCCGTCCCCGCCGGGGTGTTGGTTGTCGCGGGGCTGCGTGCGTGCGCTGAGGCAAGTCCCGCGCGATGGGCTTCTATGGCTGCTGTGTGGGCCTGGAGGCTGGGCTGCAGCAAGGTGGTGAAGGGGCCCAAGATGGAGGGTGCGTAGAGCTCCACGCCGTCGAGGCCCCTGCAAGCAAGCACGGGACCGACCCGCGGGTCACAGGTCAGTTAGGTTCCCCAACGGGGATCAAAAGCCGGTGAAAATCGCATTCGTTTTCTCCTGTTGTGATACGATGCGGCGGGCCGGGCTTGCCGCGGTGATAGCAGTAGTCGCAAGGCGGCCATGGCACACGACGGGCGAGACGGGCAAGACGGGCAAGATGGCGGCCTGCCGTACTGTCAACGTAACACGGTATCAGGGAGGTGGGGGGTAGTGGCGCCGCGGAAGCCATGCGGCAGCACGACAGCAGCGGGCAGGGAAGAACCGGCGGCGGGCTTCCAGGTGGCCCCTGTTTTCCTCCCCCCCTCCTTCCTCCAGTTCTACGTCTGGTACACTCTTGCCCTGGCAGCAGCTTCACTCGTTTGTGGTTCGTCTTTCCCCCTCCTACCACAGTGCGGCGCGCGGCGGCGCGGAGGTGCTTCCTGTGTACCCCGGGTGGCTGTGTGGTGTGGAGTGACCACGTTTGAGTGGCTCACACAGACCAGGTGACCCAGATCGCGGATCAGCCAGGTCTAGGGCCGTGTGTGTGGGGGGGTGGATGAATGAAGCTCCCAGTTCCCCTGGGTGGCCCTGGGGACACTCCGGTGTTCGTCTTCCTTCCCTCCGCCCTGCCTCACGTGTGCCCTTTACCTGTCTCGCCCTGCCCCCCCCAGCAGGGACCCACCGCCGCACCTGAGCTGCCAGTTAGCGGTTCCTGCCTCCCCGGCAGCCGCCGCGCCAGCCCCGGCCCCCCCGCCGCCTCCCTCCGGGGCCCCGCCCCCCGTCCCTCCGTTGCCTCCAGCTCCCGGCACCTGCCTCAGCTTACTGGCCTCATGCAGGCAGGCGATAGCTTCACTGCACAGGGAGCCCAGGGCCTCAGATCGCCAGGTGGCAGCCCTGTACGACACATCGTGCGGGTTTTACCCACCCGGGTTAGGAAGAAGGTCGGGGGAAGTTAGCACGGCGTGGGTTCCAGCGATGAACTTGGGAGAAGGTTTGGTTGAGATACGACTAATCAGTCCCGGACAGCCGAAGGCCCCGTGTTGTGCTGTGTGAAGCAGTCCCCCCACCACACCATCCTGGCTACTCTAGCCCTGGCCGTCTCCCCGGCCACCATTCCCCCACGTACCTGTCCGCAGCCGACTCCGGGTCACGCAGCATCTCCAGCAGCAGCGTCTCCACCGCCGCCGCCTCCGCCCTCGTAGGCGGCTTGTCACTAGGCAGCACCAACAGGCACGCACCCCCGTTACCTCCACCTCCACCACCACCTCCACTGCCGCCGCCAACCCCGTTCCCGTCCTGCTGCACCACCATGGCCGGCATCTCCAGCCCCACCGCCGCCCACGCATGCGGCAACCGCAGCATCAGCGTCCGCCGCTGCAACGTGTGCACCTGCGCCTGCTTCTGCTGCGCCGCCTGGATCTGAGCCGGACTCATTCCCGCCGCAGCCATGGCTAGCATCCCCACCGCGGCCCCGCCGCTGGCGCCTGGGCCCAGCGGTCCCTCCAATAACCCCAGAGAGCCGAACTGCGGACCCACCATGCTCTCAAAAGCCAATAGACCTACGGCAGCGGAATCACCGCTGCGGCCGCCGCCGCCGCCGCCTGCCCCACGTGGCGGAGAGCCACCCCGCTCCGAAACCCATGGCGCCGGGCCCCCTGCAGACCAACTGCTACGGTTGAATCCGTTAACTAGGTCTCGTTCACGATCCCGTAAGTCGCGTTCCAGCTCCGCCAGGTCGGTTCCGAAACCACCACCGCCGCCAACGCCAACGCCACCGCCGCGGCCGCGAGCGTGTGTGTGTGTGTGGCCGTGTGTGCCGGCAGCCGCCCCAGCGGCAGCGGCCCCGATCACCAGCTGTTGTTGGGATGCCGAAGGCTGCGACGTCGGCGACGGCGCGCCCCAAGCAGCGGCGTTGCCGGAGTGGCCGCCGGGAAATGTGAGAGAGAGGGTGCTGGCCCCGCCGCCCAGTGGCCCGTCGGGACCACCCCAGGATGCATCGCCCCAGGATGACTGCGCGTGGGGTGGGGAACCGGGGGCCTGCTGCTGCTGGGGCTGCTGCTGGGGCTGCTGCTGGGGCTGCTGCTGATGTTGCTGAGATGGATGTTGAAGGTGCTGTTGCTGCTGGACTGCAGCTGCGGCTGCCGCCGCCGCCGCCGCGGCTGCCGCCAAGTACTGCTGGGAGGACCTGTTGCCAAACGCAAAAGCAGGAAGAAAAGCGACTCAACCGAGAAGATTTGCTAAGAGGGTTTGACACCGTGAGCTGTGCCGCTCCGCGTCTCAAGGGCCATTTCCCCTCCCTTCCTCACGGAGCCAAAGCACGCGCGGGACGAGGGGCGACAACTAAGTCCTGCCGCCAGCCCCCAGTCCTGCCCCGTGACTCAAGTGACGGTCGCCTACACACCAAACGATGTCCCCCGTGCCCCCATTGCGGGTTTTTTCCCCACACCCCTGCCATAAACCACCAGTGCCCTCCTCCTTCTGTCCCGAGTTCATCGCCACCTACCCCACCCAATGAGCCCCAAACCCAACCTAACCTAACTTAACCTTTTTTAAAGGCCCCCCTCTTCTCATTTCCATCCAGTCCACCTCATCGCCCCAAGCCTCACTTAAAATATCCTGACTCCGCCAAGGCGTGCTGCTGTGCGTCCCGTACATGCGCCCACGTGATGGTGCCGGCACCAGGGCTGGCATGGGCCCCCGGGGGTGACGGCGGGGTGGAGGGAGAGCCGGGACCCAGGCCGATTCCGGGGTAGACGTCCGAAGGCGAGATGCGGCCGGTGGCCAAACCTCTGTTCCGAGTCGCCTGCGGGGACGGCAAAGGATCAGGCATCATGAACCGCAGCGGCAAGGAGTCACATTTGGGCAGCAACAGCAGCAGCAGTGTTAGCAGCCTCATTGTTCCTCACGTTCCCGCACGTGCACGCAATGCAATGTACGGAGCGACCCAGTTGCCTCATCCTTCCCCGGACCGGACCCACCGTTGCGGAGTTCGCGGCCGCCGCAATCCGTGTATGCTGCGGGGAGTACCGTGAGCCGTTGCCTCCACTGAAACCTGCACTCGGCTCCTGCAGCCTGGAAGACGAGAAAGAAAGAAAGAAAGAAAGAGGAAGACACAAGGGTCGTGCTGACCATGGAATGTGACGAAAAGTAACTGCCTAGAGCGCGGCATTAGGCAGTGTCCAGAGCCCAATCTTCCGGACCGATGGACTCGGGCCGGCACATTGTACAGCAGCCGTTCCCCCCCTCCACTGAAGGGGCAGGTATCGCGACCTGTCCTGTGTGCTGCGGATGAGTAGGCGAACCCAATGCGGATGAGTAGGCGAACCCAATGCGGATGAGTAGGCGAACCCAATGCCCCTTCCGCCTCGAGGGGCCTCTCTGTTTGTACCCCGGAGACCTCCCCAACGGATGGTGGATGGGCCCCCGACTGACTGCAAACTAGGCTCCGACCAGGTGTGGTGCTCTGTGGTACTGTCCATGTGGTGCTTAGGACCCGCGTGTACACAGAGAGATTATGCCTATACCCTGACCGGGGCTTTGGCTGCGGCTTTCGGTTTCTCTCAAATGCCTGGGGGCTGTGTCTCGACTCGGTCGCACCTTGGAAGAGAGGCCGCGCTGGCGCCGCCATCGACGCCGCGCGCAGGCTCTCGTTGGTCGCGTTCCCGGTCCGATAGCGAACTGCCGGGCAGGGGCAGGCGACGGGGTCCGCCTGGCGGAGGAACCAGGCAGGAAGGTTGAGGAGAGGCAGCGGGGCAACCGTGTTTGGACATGTCGGGGACCCGGAATGAGTGCGCCGATATTTCAAAGTCAGGTTGGGGGGGAGATGTGGAGGTTCTGAGGTTTGAGCACACGTTCCGGAACTTGTGGAGAATGTATATGCCATTGCGGGGAACATGCGGCTTGGTGTCCAGGAGGACACTGAGTCTCGCGGGCGCAAGGCACTGAAATTTAAGAATTTTAGGCTAGGTTGTAGAGGTTTGCATGAAAACTGAAAGATAGGATGTTGGATGCGTGCGCCACGATTTGGGTTGGCGCGACTGGCGCGGTTGGGGGGTGCTAAGCGGAGCAGCCTACCTAGCAGGTACGGTGTTCCCGTCGTGCCGGGCCGGGGGACAGGCGGAAAAGGTCCAGAACGATGACCCCCAAAGGATGCATGGACCGTCGATCGCGTCGGGGATGCTTCAGCTCCACGGTTGGTACCCTACCATGCAACATCAGACGAAAGGATTATGAAAGCAGCGTGAGTCCACGGGACAAGTCGTAACAACACTTTCACTGTTAAGTACTTGCAGTGCTGCCTTTTGCCTGCCTTCCGCTGAATACAAGGCCTACCGTGTATGTAAGGCGAACCGTCCAAAAGGTGCCACGTAATTATACAGGGACGTAGAGAAAATAATAACTTACTTGGTTTTGCTTTCCGTTGGCTCTACGGTCCAACGGAGCGAGAGACAAGTCTGCCTGGCCCCGCATACTGTTGGCATTCTCCGCAGCTAAGATCCTCCGCCAACAAAGTAGTACGTAAGTTTAAACATATTGTCACGTTCCATTACAAAAAAATTGTAGTTTGGATAGCTTTGTGCTTACAGGAACTTTCAAGTTTTCTTGGAAATTCAGGTTCATGTCCTGCAAGTCGAGTCCATGACATAAGTTATGATTTCACAGCACAAAACGTAAACGTTGTGCCAAATCCGTAGGCTGAATGCTACCGGATCGGACGTCGTAACGGTTGCCGTATAACCAAATGGCCAACCAGAATGCCAGCCAACGGCAATACTTTGTTTTGACGAGCTTTCGAGCTTTCAACCCTGCGCGCATACGTAACGTCTCCATGCAATGTGCCTTTTTCACGGTTTAATATCGACCATAGAGTGCTTCTGATTTCATTAGGCTTTGCTTGCCGGTGTAGAGGTGTAGCTGAGCCGCTGAGTGAATGGAACTGTAACCTGGTCCCGGGTAAATTTTTGTAACTCCTGCTGCAACACGCTCCCACGCGATCGCACGCACATCAACTACAAATACTGCAGTCAAATCGACAAAGCGGCGAAGGCGCGTCGTCTACCCATATGGCTACAAAATCTGCTGGGCGCTTGTCGCTATATTTTTGTTGAGTACTATGAAGTGTAATGCGTCGGGTCTGCGTCAAAAAGTCCTTTGCGCCAATCGCCTATCCACCCGCCCGCACATGGACGAAGCCCATCCCTCATCACATATTCCAAGCTCCTAGAGGCCCTACAATTGCCCGGATACCACCTAGAGGCCCATACCAGCTGCTTTTGCGCCGCCCTTCGCCCTCCTGACGTGTGCAGGCCCAACTTCCCCAGCTTGACTCGCACCAATATTGGTCCAGTCCCAGCCCATACTGCCGCCGCCTCAGCCGCCATGGTAATATCCCCTCCGCCAGCGCTGTCTAGGGGCCCCTTGACGTCCGGAACGCAGCTGCTGCTGCTGCTGCAGCGTGGCCCCCTTCAGGCGACCACCACCACCACAGTAGCAGCAGCAGCCGTTGGTGCAGGTGTTGGTGTTGGTGGTGTCACTGCTGCTACTGCTGATGCTGCCACTTTCCATGGGAAATCGCGTCATGGCAGTAGCAGTGGTGCCAGCTCCGCGGCACAGGCAAGAGCTACACGCCGCCATGCAGCTACCCGCACTTCCTCTCCTTTAGGACCGTCCCCAGACGCAGCAGCAGCAGCAGCAGCCTCCCTCCCAGGCCGCCCCACATCGGGAGAGCCGACGGCTTCCAGCAGCGGCGGCGCCGGTGACGACGACGTCGCCGTTGCTGCTGCTGCGCCGCAGCTGCCTCTGTGCCAGCGGCCTGCTGTCCACGTCGACGAGCTGGGCGCAGTTATGTCCTGGCGGGACCACATGTCGGGCCTTATCGCTCAGCTGGGGGACTCCCTGGAGCACATGGACGGGGGCCCGGACAAGGCGGGACTCCTGGTGCGACCGGGGGTGTGGAGGGGCGCTAGGCGGGGGTTTGGGTGGGTGGGAGGGAGGGGATACGAAATACTAGGAACAAAGCGGCTGACTGAGATCTGTGGGAGGGGGGCGGTAGGTGGGGGCAAGTAAGGAAACGACAAGCAGTCCCTGACTGTAATGTTACGTCATGTCGTGTTATGTTCTGGAGGTAGCGCGGGGTCCCCGAGTTCGGGGGTGTAGCGGCCGCCAGCGCACACAGTTGGCCGGGGGAACACGTCCAGGGGGCCCTCCGATGGGTTGAGGTGCTGGGCAGGGAGGCGGCTCTTGGGTGCCGCAGCGGCGCGGGCGGCGCGACCGGAGGGGAGGTGAGTGGGGCCTGGTGGTGACGGGGGACCGGGGCCGGATGGTGCCCGTGTGTCGGGCTCTAGGGATAGGACCCGGGCTGACTGTCAGCCGTACACCGTACACCTCCCCCCCCCAAACTTGCCCCCTTCCCTCCTCCTCAGTGACTTTCCCCCTTTTTCTCTCCTCCTTTTCCCCGTCGCCCCGCACAGCGTGAGCTGGACTGGGTGCTGGATGATGTCATTGAGGTGTGTGTGTGGGGGGGGGGCCCGCTGGGGTATAAGTGGTTGCAAGGTCCTTAGGAAAGCCAGCTGGCCAAGAAGCCAGTGCCAGTCCAACCCGGGAGTCCCCGTCTTGCCCCTCTACCTCCCACCCCCTCCTACGTTTGCTACTATCTTGCCCTGGCAGCAGCTTCAATCGCGTGTGGTTCGTCTTTCCCACCCCCTCCAACAGCTCAGGTAGTTGGGACGTAGCTCGGTAGTTGACTACTGCAGTCCCCATCACCAAGCCCTCCTCCCCCCTACCTCGGTCAGGCCGTCAGGGTGCGTCCTGAATCTCCCTGGGAGGAGACCAGCTGGCGGCTGCTGGAGCCCCGTGTGAGGACGGAGGAGACCAGGGGCCACGACCCACGGGTCACTTGGCAGCTAAGGCTGAGAGAGCCCGTATCGCAGTTGTGGGAGTGGTGGGAGCGGAGGCTGAAGGTGAAGGGGTGTGAGGGGGGAGGGGGAGGGGGGCCCAGGTTGTGGGCAGCAGCACTACAACAGCATAGGAGGAAGGTGCGTGAGGTCAAGATAGAGGGAGAGGGGGAGGATCCGGCACGCTGCTTTGCAGGGCGGGCAGCGTTGTTAACCCCCCTACGCCTCTCCCCGCACCGGGGCCCCGCCCTCACAGGATCGCGTTCCCTTCCAGTACCTCATCAGTACGGCACACTGGCACAAGTACGTGCTCAGTGTGGGACCGGGGGTGCTCGTACCCCGACCGGAAACGGAAATCTTTCCCGAGCTTGTCCGTACGGCGATCTCGGAGCGGCCGTACCTGGCGGCTGCGCCGTGGGCGGATCTGGGTACGGGCAGCGGCGCCATCGCGATTGCGGCAGCGGATGAGCTGCGGCGAGTTACCCTCGTAAGTGGTTGTTGTGGCAGTGGGTGGGATGGCCTCTGTGGATTGCATCAGAGCGGCCTTGAACACCCCTGACCTGGGGCTGGGTGGGTGGGTGAGGGGTCTGAGTCAAGGGCGCTTTTCGGGTTTTCCTTGGTGGTGGGGGGAGGAGGGGCTGGGGTGCTGGTCGGGAAGGTTAGGGAAGAGTGGCAGTCTTCCGCATCTCCCTAAGGCTTGGCCTTGTTTGGAGATCCTGGCCAAGATCTGGACACAGCGACCGGGCTAGCTGATTGGCGGCCTGCGAGGCAGAAGAGGAGGGGACTGGGGTTGGGACTGGGATTGGGACTGGGACTGGGATTGGGACTGGGACTGGGATTGGGACTGGGGTCTACCGCGGTTGGGTTGTGGGTATCACGTGAGCCAGGGTACCCCGTGAGGTTGTTTTTCCTCTTCCCTACATTGCCCCGTATGTCGCTCAGCTACTGCCCCCCCCGGGTGGCCCCCTGTAGATCCCCCCCGACCCCCTCTTCACCCCTCCATCCCCCCGACCCCCTCTTCACCCCTCCATCCCCCCGACCCCCTCTTCACCCCTCCATCCCCCCGACCCCCTCTTCACCCCTCCATCCCCCCGACCCCCTCTTCACCCCTCCATCCCAAGTCTGTGGAGGTGTGGGCAGTCGACCTGAGTCCTCGAGCAGTGGCGTACGCTACCTTCAATGCCCAGCTATGCCTGCCCTCACCGCCGAGCACGGGCGCCGGCGGCAGTGGCGGCGGCGGCAGGCCGCTCGTGCGTGTCGTACAGGGCAGCTGGTTTGAGCCGCTGCGGCACCTGCGCGGCCGCCTCGGCGGCGTGCTCACTAATCCGCCGTACATTCCCCGCGCCCAGATGTCGGGTTTGCAGGCTGAGGTGCGGCTTCACGAGCCCCGGGGGGCACTGGACGGCGGCGAGGGACCGGGATTGGACAGCTTGGAGGTGGGTGGGAGTGCACTTTTGTGTGTGTATGTATGTACAGCTGTCGGGGGCCGGGAGGTTAAGGAATTGGAGAGAGATTGTGGGGACGTGTTGCAGTCGGTGGGAAGGCCCTAACTGGGGGGATGAACTAAAGGGGAAGAAGGGGTTCCCCTTTAAGGGAAGAACAAGGGGTTCCCGTCCCCTTGCTCTTCAGACCCTTCGCCCTGTCCCCCCCTCCCCGACTTGTCCCCGTCCTTCCACCCTCCCCAGATCTTATGTTCGGATGCGGCGGCTATGATGCTCCCGGGAGGGCTGATCGCCCTGGAGGTGAGGGCAGCGGCGAGACGGGCTGTGAGGGCAGCCCCTGGGGGCCCCTCGGGCCCTAGTTCCTAGACTCGCTTTACGTCCCCCCGACCGAAACGATGTGTCTTTTGAACCCCTCCGCGGAATGAAACACGTCCTTTCCGCTTTTTGGTCTCTTAATTCATTTACTGTTACCGCGCCAGGAACCCCTTTTTGCAGGAACTCTTTGCTTCCCTGCCGTTCCCCGGCGGTCATCTAGGGCTCCGTTCTTGCTACCGCTCTTGCTACCGCTCTTGCCCAATGCCTTTGGAACCCCCCACCGCTGCCCCACCCCGGGAACTGCGTGTATTCAGACCGCCGGCGGTGATCAGGCGGAGCTGGTGGCGGAGCTGCTGCGGGGGGTCCGGGAGCCGCCCTCCTGCGGGGCCCTGGACGTGATTGACACCACCGCCAGCAGTAGCACCCGCCTTAACACCGCCACCATGGACAAGAACAACAGTACCAGCAACAGCAGCCACAGTAGTGCGGGTGAAAACGACGCTGCACTGACCCGGGGGTCGGTGGTGAGGGGGGAGGGGGGTTCGGTGCGGTTGGGGGCTCCTGCTGCATTTGAGGAGGTGGAGGTGCTGCCTGATTGCTACGGGGTCCGGCGGTTCGTGAGGGCGTACCGGCGAAGGGGGGGGACGGTCGGTCCGACGGACGGTCGGTCGTAGCGGTTAGCGGTTAGTGGTTGGCGGGTATTTAGCGACTGGAACCTGGGGCGGGGGGCCCCCCTTGGGCCCCTTTGGGTAATGGAGGCGGCTTGAGGGGGGGCTTCCTCTAGGACTATTCCAACCCCTCTCCCCAGCACTCCTCCGGGGAGTCCGCTCACGTCACACCGCAAAGGGGGAGAAGTCCCTGGTAGGAGTGCGTTATGTTACAAGTTACAAGTTCCGCACAAGTGCGGGGGTGTCCGTAAAAGCCTTGGGGGTGGCCATGGACGCTAAATCGGTTTTAGCGCGGTTATGTAGAGAGCGTAGGTTCCAACCTGGAGTGATGGGGGGGTGCAGGGGCGGCGGCGGCGGCAGCGGCTGCAGCAAGTGGAAGGGGAAGAGCGCTGCTTTTGGTGGCTCGTTTGCCGCCTTCTCAAACCGCGTGTTGCGGCAGACAGAGAGGGCTGTGCACGGAGGCCTAACGGAAGTTCTCGATAGGGCTGTTGCGTTCACGAGGTGGTGGTGGCCACGCGGGGGCAGGGGACCGCTGTGATCAGTTGCTAGTTGGGAGTTGTACTGCCAACAACGACTAGGATACATAGGACAATCGCTGTGTATATCTGTATGCATCTGTATCTAGTCTTTGTGTATGTATGTATGTATGTATGTATGTATGTCATGGAGTTATGCGGGGGCGGCTCATTGCGGCTCATGGGATCCTCATATCATCGTGCGGCGTAAAAAGTCATACCAGAATTTGTACGACGAACTGTACGGCCCATGGGACGTGCAACGCGTGAAGAGGGGCAAGCGAATGACGTATAAAGCGGCGAGAAGGCTCCAAAGCGAATCCATCAGCCCTACCCAGCCAATGGATCGCCACCCGCAATCCCTCGCCCCTTCGGCGAGACCCGGGTTCAGCTCCAAACCCCTGTTTTGCCCCCCCGTGCCGCGGACAACCCACAACCAGCAATCCGCGCCTCTTTGGAGACCGTCTGTCCGTCAGTCTGTATGCATTTATGTATCCCACAGCCCCTTCTCTCCTCCCTCTTCCCTCTCCCCGTCCGCTTCCTGAGAGGTCCTACACCCCCATCGGAAGCCCCAAATCCTACTTTGCTTTGCTTTGATTAGCCCGTCCGTCAGTCCGTGAGCCTAATCAGGCAACCAACGGGTGGGCCGGGTGGCAGCATGGACCCCTTTTCGAAGGTCTCCTGGTGCCATTCCACGCCCGCTGCCAACGACACTCAATTCACCTAGACCGCGCAACCCCCCGACCACCGCCTTGGACGCCACCAGCGCTGCCGCATCTCAACACGCGACGTTATGCACTGCCACCGCTATACCATAGCCATCGCCATCTTCCGCCCTCTTCCTCGCAATCGCGTTAATCTGTCCCCAGCCTCCTGCCACGTGTCGTGCTGTGTTTTCCCTGCGCGTTCTCCATCACCGCCCCTCTCCCCACGCTGGGCCACGCTGGTAGCGGTCCTTTTCCTTGCGACCCAGTTGCACTGTGGCCTTCCCTCCCGCCCTTCTCACGTGGACCCCACTCACCCCACCTCCGAGTCCGACCCATCCCCGGGGCCTCGCCCCCGCCGCATCAGAAACAGCTGCAATCGGTGCAGCCCGAACAGCGCCAAGTTTAGCGGGTCAAGGTACACCCCAAGCGCCGCAAACACGTGTTCGTCCGAGTGTACGGCATATGCGTGCCTGCCATACAGCAGCATCAGTACGTCCACCACGGCGTACATGGAGAATGCTGCCGCGGCAGCGGCGGCGCCGCCAGCGGCGTGGCCGACCCAACTGCAGCGGCGAAGGCCGCTGCCGCTGGCGGAGCCGGCGACAACAGCCTCCAGCGCAGCGCCGCCGGCCCAGCCCAGTACGACACCCGCGCAGCACCAGGCAATCCCCGACCCGGCCGTCAAGTCGGCCATACGGCCTAGGAGCTGAGCGCATGCAGCCACACACGCCAGCGCCAGTGCCGCCAGCGCGACAGCCTGTACGACAATACACGTGCCCAGCGCCGCTGTGGCGGTGGCCACCACCAGCACCTGACCGGCGGAAAAGACTGCAACGGCAGCGGGGGGATACGGGACGACAACATGCCGTACGGTCAACGAAAAACACGTACAGCAGAGCGACGTCAGCACAAGCAGCACTGACGCTCGCACGCCAGTAGGGCCGCGGGGGCCTGAGCAGAGTGGGTCAGGCATGCATGAAAGCAGTCCGTCAGCCCGCCTGTCGTACCCGTACCCACGCACCCGCGAACGCCAGGAGGCTACGCGGGTGGGGCCTCCGCAGCCTCTCCGACAGCGCCATCAGCAGCAGTGTACCTAGCGCCAGCACCAATGTGAGGTGCAGCACCCAGGGCTGGTTCAGTAGCATGCGCCGTGACACCTCGGGGGGGGCCACCAGCACTGCCAGACCCCCGCCCGCGGCGGCGCCCAGCGACAGCGCCAGCAGTGCAAACACATTTCTCAGGAAGAGGTTCCGGAGCTGCAGGGGGCGCAGCGGCGGGGAAGAGGACGTAGAGGGTGGGAGGTTTGGGCAACGGGGCTAAGCAAGGCGGGGTTCCGGTGGGGGGAGAGCTTACCCGGGGCTGTGTCAGTACGGGATATGTGTGTATTGACAGGCAAACCCTAGGTATCATAGGTAACACCCGTCTCATATGGATGTCTCATATGGATGGCCCCCAGTTTCACAAAATGATTGCCGTACCTGCACATGGGTCCCTGTCGCGGTGTTGATTCGCTGCCAGGCGGTGGAGGTGTGGGGGTTGGGGAGCTGAAGGGGTGAGTCGCGGTACGAACCTGCAGCCGGGACGGGGCCGCAGGGTGGTACGGCCGCAGGACGAGATAAGAGGCGGAGGAGGAAGCGAAGGACAGGTAGGTGCAAGGGGAGGAGGAGAGAAAAGCAAGAGCAGGTAGCCAGCCGCGGCAGGTGGTGGGGGAGGGACGCACGCAGTGTCTTCAATATGGGCCAGGTGGTCGCACAGGATTTAATGGACATCTGGACCTCCACACGCACCCAGCACACACTTCGCACCATAACATGAAGGCGGCGGCATGCCACGCTAGGGTAATGGGTTGGTTAGGTGGTTGGGGAAGGTAGTTAGCTAGCCAGGTAGCTAGGCGGATAGGGATCCATCTGGGCTTGGTAGGCAGGCAGATGGGCAGCCGTGTTCCAGTCCTGGTGGAAACCGCTGACCTCCCGGCGGTCAAGGCAGCGGGTCCTTGACTCACGAGGGGAGAGGGCGGGCATAGGCGTGTAGTAACCCGTGATGAGCTGCTCCTGCATGCCGTTGTGTTCGTACAAGCCGTACAAGCCGTACCCACGAGAGCTGAAGAACATCTGCGAGGATTGCTGCGATGGAGCCTGCGCCAGTGCCGCAGCCTGAGGCGCGGGGCCAACGCAGGCGAACTGCGGCGCCGCGGGCGGCCCAGCTGACCCACGGGTCGCTCGGGTCGACCGACTTGCGCCCGCCTCAGTCGTCGCGGCGTCCGGGCTGGGCGGTTCGGCGGCTTGCAGCTCGTGAAAAAGTGCCATTGCGTATGCGGATAGCTGCTGTGGCTGCGATTGGCCCGTTGTGTAGGGCTGCGAAGTTGCCGTCGTGCAGGGAACTGCTGACCTGGACGGCTGAGCATCTTCGCTGCGAGAATCAACACAAGCTTGATTATCATGATTATTATTATGGTTTTCTTGTTGTAGAGAACCAGCCTCCACTTCGGTGTCAGCTGCTGCGGAGCCACCGGCGGCGGCAGCCGCGATAGAAGTGGTCAGCAGCGGCCCCGAATAGAGCGCGAAAGGGGAGAGGGATGAGGGCCGCATCCTCTTAGCACTGTTATAATATAGCTAGGCGTCTTTGCCCCGGTGGTTGCTGCCCCGCCCTTTATTGTTTCAAAACTCTTTCGTTCATCCGGCGCTAAGACTACACAGCGTATCCCATGAGGATTCGCAAGACTTCAGGCTAGTCAAACCTGCAAGCGACTGTCTTTGTTTGTAATCATATCCTTCATGCTGATGAACGCAACATTTGCGACGCCTTACGGCAGGCAAACAAGCTGTCGGCACAGGCCCAATCCAACGGAACGAATATGAAGGGAGCTTGCATGCGAAGCGGTCCAAGTCTTGTTATTTCGGCGCGCCGCGGCGCTACGGTCCTCTGCACAGGGGCACAGGGCATGTAGGTTACACTCGAATGAGCCACAGAGTACACCGAAATATCTCCTGAAAAGCTCCCGCCTCCCTTTTCGCCTGTCTGCGTGCCTACATTCCGATCAGCCCGCTTAGCCTCTTCAATATTCTAGCCTCTGTCTGAAAGGACTGCCAGGATTCCGGCACCGGAACACGGCGCGCAGTAATAATGTCGGAGGGCAACTGGGTCTCGCCTTCCTGCATCGCCGAAATTTGCAACTCGCTACTCGCGTTTTTCTTTCCGCAGCTGCTTTTTCGCAGTCTGGCACAACCGCACCCACTGCAATGTGGCTCCTCGCATCGGCACATTAGAACGTTGGTGCCGCAAACCTCCAGCGCTCCTCCTCTTCCTCCTCTTATCACCTACCTAATAGTAGTAGCGCGATTAGGAAAGCCACCATCATACTCGTACCTCCGCATATGGCCTTGGTTGAATCTCCTTTTCTGCAGCCACTCCCGACCAGAACCCCACCTCCGAAAACCACACGCGCACTCTCTAATGACATCGTAGCTGACAAAACAAATTAACCCAACGGCCGCCTCAACCTGGCTGCCTGCCAGCCGTCTACTCAGCGCACATGTCGACCTCCTGCGCTTTTGCATCCACCCCCTCCTCAATTTGCTGGTGGTCCTCCCCCTCCGGCTGCGGCGCCAGCGCTGTGGCCACCCGCGCCGGCAGATCATAGCCCTGCTCCGGATCCAGTACCATGGCCGTGATGGCGCCATGCCTGGGGTCGTACTCGAACCGTACCTGCTCGTCCGGCATCTTGGAGGCTGTGGCACACATCCAGTCCAGTGCCGCATCCCCAAATCTGATCAGCTGGAAAGCGTCGAAGGGGAAGCCCTGGTCTCGGGCCAGAGCGGGTAGCCGGGTCACTGGTAGGCGCTCCACCTGCCCGGATTGGGGACCGCGCGCACACGCGCGCGTGTGCATGTGTGTGTGAGGAGGTGGGGTGGGGGGAAAGCATCATACGATCTGCGGTTAACGAGTGTGAGGCAGTGAGGTCCGTGATGACATCACCATCACCATCACCATCGCTGGGGTCGCCAGCCAAATCATCGCCTGGAATCAACACTGCCCACCGCTCACTAACTGCCAGCACCCCTACCCCACTCCCTACCGCCTCCGACTCACTTTTTGCAGGATGCCGCTGCGGTCCCTGCCGCCCGCCACCAGCGTGGGCACTCCCGCCAAATAGGACTGCACCCACCATCGCGCGTACTTGTCCCGGTACAGCCGCTCCTTGGCCCGGTCGTTCTGGGGCAGCCTGCATGCATGCAGGTGGTAGCCAGGCAGGCGGGCGGGTTTGATGTTTTCTTTCCATCTAAATAAATCTCCGAAGACAAGAAGTTTGCCTTAATATCCTAAAACTCAAGAGAATAAGAACAGATTCCAAAACGCAATTGGGCCCCAAACCGAGCCAAGCCACAGCTGACGGCTGGAGGAAGGGGGAGCTAAGTAAGTCCAATCAAGAGCAGTGAGCAGAGCCGAGTAAGCTAGAGGTCCGAGGCCCGGAGGGACACATAGTCGTGTCAATAGGCCCAGGGGACACAGTAGGAGGTCGGAGCGTTTCTCCTGTCCCGCAAGGATATAGGAGCTGTATGCAAAGAGTGGAAAGGAGGGCAAGGGGGCGACACCACGGATGGAAACCCAAATCGCCAACCTAGGCCTTTAGGTACCGCGGGAGAAGAGCTGTTAACTCGCTTACATAAAGTGGAGCGAAGCGAAGGGTGTGGGGGAGAAAGCTGCCAGGCACAACCTGCAGCGCATTCGGATGCGGCCTGGGATTATCAGGGTCTGGCATGAGCCCGGCAAACCTACACGTAAGTCTTGAGCTCCACGTATCCCACGAACTCGGCCCCCGGATCGTTCAGCTCCTCGGGGGGCGTCTCCCAGGCGTCTGTCTCAGCCGCCATCAGGATCAGGTGCCGCCCCAACCGAATCTGGGACGATAAACAGATAACACATAACGGATACACAACCGGCGCCAACTGAATCAGAATCCACAAATGATTCGCATTGTCGTTCTTAGCATCCGAAAGGGCCACCGGTGCGTTGCCATTTGGCCTAGAAGCTGGTAAGAGGCCAAAGCAGAGGCCAGGGATGGCACAAAAGGCCCGGGCACAGACGTGTTCGTGGTGGTACGGAGCGGCGGGGAGGAAAGCGGCGGGGCTGGGTGGGAAGCCGCAAGAGTGCTTCACACCAAAAAAGAGCCCATGGCACAGTCAAATGCAGTCAGTACAATCAGGGGGCCGCGAGACCTCCAACTATGTCTTGTGTCACCTGCTCATGTTCGATTGTAGGGCAGAGCTCTCCGTACCATTTACCGCACTCGCCTGAACCATGAGAGCGAACTCCCCAGTGGTGTCCACGGGGTCGGATGGTCTCGCGCCTGTGCACAGCGCCTCGAACTTGTATCTACACGCTTGCGGGGTTGGTAAGCCGCAGTCGGAACCACGGAGGTGAGCCGTCCCGCCGCGGGGCAAGGAGGCGAGGGAAGGATTCAGGTACAAGCAGCGCGGGGTCAACTGCCGACGTCCACAGCGAGAGGGGGGTAAGGGAGGGCAGCGAGGGGCGAGAGGGGCCCCTGGGGGGCCAACTGGGCCTGGACAGAGCCAGCAGATAGGTAAGAGGGACAGACACGAGCAGCTAGGTAGCCTAGGCAGACACGGGAAAGCCCTGGACGCTGTGGTTTGCTGTAGTGGGATGATAGGCGGCCGGGCTAACCACCACTGCCAGCAGTAACAGCACCGGGCCGCTTCTGGGGGCATGAGAGATAGAGAGATAGATGGGTCCGTGTGGGTTGGTGGAAATGGAGCACCGAGGCAGGGTGGGGCACCAGGCCGGGCCTCGAAACGAGCCCGGCTGCAGCTGCTGTAGCGGCGACGGCATCAACTTGGCTTATCAACAGGGTTTTGGGTTGCCTGCAGCGCCCCTTGCTTCTCCAGGTGCTGAAGGGGCAATGCGGAGGCCTCTGCATATGTTTTATGCGGGAGGTGCTGAGGGCCTCTACGTTGCCGACCGGTGGGTGCTGGCCCCCGTTGTTGGTGCTCCACCAGGCCTTACCGGCATCCATCTGTGACATGGGGGGCAGGGAGAGCTGTCGCCCTCCTTTCCACCCCACGTGTTATCAACCGTGTTCCCGCCCCCACGCCCATTCTCCGGGCCTACCCGTAATACGTGAACCGATCCTGGTCCGGATTCTGGCGCTGCTCCTGCATCTTGACGATCTCCAAGAAGAGAGTGGTGCCGTGCCATACTGCATCAATAACCCACGGGTCGTTCTGTTGCAGCGGCGTCATGAGCAACTTGTTCAGGTTGTTCCGGAACGTTACAACTGTGGGGCGTTCCATGGGCAGGCAAGCAACCTTGGCGCCGTAAAGGATAAAATCCACGGGCACAGCGTCGTCCGAGTCTTGTTTTCGAATAAATGCGTCGGGATAGCCCTCGTTCAAGTTCACATGTCGGAGGGATTCCGGGTCCGGCACCATCGTCCGCAAGCCTGCAGGCGGGAGGAGTCAGACCGCACCACATACCAACCGGTAAGCGAGCGCAAAAGGAGGTCCAGACACACACATTCACAAGTGTGCATGTGCGCCGGCAAATAGCAGCAGCAGCAATAGCAAAAGCAAGCAGCAGCAGGAGCAGGTTTGGCGTTCCCCGGATGCAAGACTTCCGCGACCCCTATCAATGATAGCAGGACGGGTACAACCCGGTTTAAGCCCCGCCCACCCCTTCAATACGGGCGCCATCTCTGTCCACACCACTTGGGTGCGCCACCAGCACCTCAGCAATGTGCAAAACCCCATGCGGCCTGACGTCTAGCTTAAGGCCAACTCTGTTTAACGGAACCCGCTACAAACCCCGCGCGCTCTGACTGTAGGCTGTGGGCTTAGTTTGCGACTTCAATGCGGACGTAGCGGCGCACATACTACACGGCTACGACCCACCACTTGGATCCCCATAGCTGTACAAGCCGCCCTGGGAGGCGCTGCTTCGCGTCCAGCAGAATACGTGGTTGGGTCGGCTGATGGAGACGTTTCGGTGTGAGCCATGAAGTTTGTCCTCTACACACCAGGTCCTGACGGAGAAAGCCCTTTCCCCCATCGTCAACTGTTCTTTAGCAAGTGATCGAGTTTGTGACAGACCTAACGCATTTATGAGGCTCCATGTTGTCACGGGTCTGGCCTGTCGTCACAGGTAATGAGACTGGGCAACTTTGGTTGTGGCTTGACGCGCTATATCAACATTCGACAGGCAACACCATTGAAATGCGCTAGAGCTGCTTCCATTACAGGACTTCGGGCCTTGGCTTCAGAGAACTCCAGGCAAACCCGACCGTACAAGTACATTCATGGAATAAGCAATTCCCTTTTGCAATCAGGTTTGCTCTGACAATCTCTCACCACTTCTTACAAGCAGGTGCCCTTACTTATGTGGTTTGCTTTGGACTTCGTTCGACTCTCCTGCGCTAAACTGCGGGATCACTTGCGGCTAAGTGCGGTATACTGAACAGCTATTATCATAAGGCCAGAAAGTAGTAGAGTAGACTTGTGAACGGCAAGTGTTGCCTTCCTGTCTCATCTATCTAGCTTCCGTTATGGATCAACTGTTCGTTACGGAAGGAAAGCGCAAATACGCCAAATTTGAGCATAGGACATTATGAACAAGCATACACTAGTCTGCAGGCAATACGAAGGCTTATTTTCTTGCGACCTGCTAAAAGTTTGCATCCCAGCTGGCTTTCGCTTTGTTACATTTATTTTACCTTAAGTAAGAGAAAACTTATGTTTTTGCACCATGATGCTGCCCTGGAAGTGATTTCATAAACTTCGCGCTGGACCCTTCCTTCAGTTGCAAACAGGCCCTGCGCATAGTCTAGCGGATTCAGTGCTCTTTTTATTCGTACCATCTTTACGGACTGGACTTTGAGGCATCTGACACCTGAAGTAAATGCAGGCAGCGGCTCTCTTGCCTCACCCGGCTTGTACCTGCCATGGGAAGCTGATGCAGGGACGACGTCAGGGGACCTTCCCCACCCACGGCCCTCGGCGGTATATCCCCGCCTTTGCCTCAACCCTCCCCGGATCACGGACTAGCAGCGGCAGCAGATCTGCAGCATCTCTCACCTCTGCGACTTCGCCGTCCACAGCACGACCAGCCTTCACACATCCTCTGGCCACCTACCTAGCTGCTGCCCCCGCGGCCCAGACAAGCATCTCAGACTCAGCTTCCAGCAGCATCCTTCTTCCTCTTAACCGGCACTCCAGGTGCTGCAGCAGCAGCCACAATAACGCGCAGAGATGTAGCCTGCTGGTCGCCTGCGCCTCGCCGTCCTCCTCTTCTGGTTCCCAATGGGTCCCCAATCCCATGGAGCTCGTGCGACGTGAGGCCGGGCTGCAAAGCAACAAATTGCATCCCGACCTTCGGGAACGAGTGGAGGCGGCCGTTGAGCAGCTGGGCGGGCGAGTTACGGTGGGTGAATGGGTTTGCGGGCGAACGGCGGGTTGGGTGCCCGCCGGTTGGTCGTCTAATTGGCTGCCTGGTAAGACCGTCCAGACGGCCGTTACCTCCAGTTACCCCTGGTCCCGCCAAAAGTAGAGACAGTGACAATCCAAATCCCGCTCCGCAACCGCCGCAACGGAGTTCCTCATGGTTGAGCTGCGCAGTTGGGTGAGACAGGAAGCCAGTCTTATCTCCGGTGACTGTTGCAGCTTGCAGCACTTACCTTGTACCATCTTGCTACAGGTAACGACCGCCACCACAAGTATGTGGCTAGCAATTGATTGTTTGTACTCTTTGTACACAGAATTCCCCATAAAGTTCCCCACCATGCACCAATGCCCGTAATCACAGACCGGGGGCCTTTGCCTGCTGGGCGGCTATCCCCGAGCTCGTACAGACATTATGTTTATCTTTGTTGCTGCCTGTGGTTCTCCTTCGCTTGCCGTAACCCATTCGTTCCACTTGCAACTCCGGCAGGTGGGTGACGTGGCGGCGCGTGCGGGAGTTAAGTTGGCGGATGCGGACGAGGCGCTCAAGGCGTTGGCATACGACACGCAGGCGTCACTCAAGGTAGTGTCTATCTTTAAGGGAGGTTATTGGTTGGCCTCTGAATCGGTAGTGGGTGGAGCTTTTGGAGCGGGCAAAACCATGCCGCGTGCTCACGGCAACAGCAGTCAGCCGGGTGGAGGGCGAAGGGACGAACATTGGGTGGGTGGCTTCAGAGTCTTAACGGTGTACGATCCGTGTGGTGTTGGCCCTGATGCTGGCGCTGCAGCTCCTGTGGCCGCATCCGTGCCTGCAAGCTGTAATCACTTAATCCAGCATTTGTCGTGGAGCCCTGCCCTGGCCCCTAAGTGTTCTGTTGCAGCATGCCGCCACCGAATTCGGCCATTGACCCTCAGCACACCCGAACTTGCCGGGGAACCCCTGCGGATATAGGTATCGTCCGAGGGCGCGGTAGTGTACGGATTCGCACCCGACTTCCAAAGCCGGCTCCGGAACCGCTCAGTGCTCATCGCCGCTGCGCCGCTGCTGCGCCGCACCGTAGGCGTGCTGTCATACCTTGTGCGCGTCGCCTTCGGTACGGCACTCATAGCGTCGGTCGCACTTGTGTGGCTGGCGATTGCTGTGCTGCTCAGTAGTCGCAACGACGACAGGGACAACCGCCGCCGCGGTGGTGGCGGCGGCGTCACGTTTTTCATGGACCCGGTAGACCTGTTCCTGTACTGGGATCCGTACTATGAAAGGTGCGGTGCGGCGTGTCAAGCTCGGAGATTGTGAGCGGTGAACAGCGCTGCCAAAGACGCCAAGGGCAAAGCTATTCTTTTCTTCTTGTTGTCATACGCTTAAAATTGGTGCCACTCCTGGAGCAGGGTATCGCGCACTGGCGCTGGCATCCGGATTTAGACCCTGTGGGGCACAGTCTGTCCTGGTTTCGGGCACATGCCAAGCTGCCTCCTGCTGCTTCGGGGTCCGGCGGGCAGGCTGGGTAGGTAGCTAATTGGCTGCGAACAGAAATGCTGTGGCGCTAAATCCCGGCCTGGTTCGCGCCTATTAACCCAGCAGGAAGCGTGCCGCTCGCTCTGCTGAGTTAAGAACGGGAGGTATGAACTTCATGGAGGCGGTTTTCTCGTTCGTGTTCGGAGACGGAGACCCGAACGAGAGCTACGAAGAGCGGCGCTGGCAGGAGCTGGGTGCCATGATTCGGAAAAAGTGAGGGGGAAAGGGGTGTGGGGTTTGGGGGCTATGGAAGAGCCAGCCAAGAGGAGGATGGGCTTCCAGCCATGCACGTGAGAAGGCTGTGGGAACCCCTAGGGAGGTCCGTCGACCCATTCAGGGGGGAAGCGTGATGCACCTTATTGCTGTCTGTTGAGCGGTGCCGCCAGTTTCATTCGCCTACCGCACCTCCCGGTTCCAAAACTCTGTCGCTCCGTGCAGGGGTGGGGTGCTGACGGCGGAGGAGATGGCGCCTTTCCTGGAGCCGCCGGCACCGGCGCCTGTCCCGCCCGCATACAGCAAAGAGCCGTACATACCGTACCCGGACGAGAGCTTTGTGCTGCCCGCGCTGATCAAGTTTGGCGGCGAGGCGGAGGTGGACGAGCAGGGCCACATTCTGTATTGCTTTCCTGCACTGCAGAGGACCGGGGTGCAGGTGGGTTAGGAGCCGAGGGTGTCGGGAAATCTGTTGTTGTTGTTGGCGGTGGTGGGCCGGAACATGCCACGGTGTGTGTATGTGTGTGTTAGACCTCGGTTGCGTTACCCAGAGAGGTGTAACGAGGGTATGTGGGTCTCGTCCTGGACGGAATAAGCATGTGCAGCCTGCGCCAAGGGCCACCAAGCCAGGGAATGCTTTGAATGGGTTATGTAGGCCATATGTAGGTCAGCGTGCGAGGGAGGTATTGCTGTTAAGGATCAATGGCTGGTGCTGAAACATGCATAACAATAGGCGCAAGGCCCGTCATGGCGGCTCTCTACCACCATGCAAACCGCAGGGCCATAACCCAGCTGTGATTCCCCCCACGTCTATCCGCAGCAGCAGCAGCAGAAGCGGTGGCGGCTGCGCAATCGTACCGAGTCCACCTCCTGGAACGTGCCCCTGGAGCGGACCTGGGAGCTCACCGCTGCCACTCCCGGCCAGGTGTGAGTGTCAGTTGGGCCGTTAGGACTTCGGAGCAGCAGAAAGGACGGGGCTGGCTGATTGGATCCCCCATCGAACCCCTGCTGTTAAGGAGTGATGCCACTCAGTTGACTCATTGTCGGCCCTCCTGAGCTCGGCAGCCCATGGCGCACTTCCCCCCCCCTTGTCATCGAGCCCTGACTCGGAGGGATATACCCGTGCACCTAACCGACACGATCGAATGAGTGCAAATCCCGTTGCTGGTGGAGCAATACCCTGTCTCTCTCGCCACTCATAACCCCCATGCACACATCCGCTCACGGCTCATGATCTGCATTTCCCCTGCAGATTGCCGGAGTGGTGACACTTGGCCTGTTCAACCTGCTGGGGGTGGGTCTGCTGTCAGGGTTGCTTGCAGACCCCCGTGGTCCCGCGCTCCTAGCCATGCAGGGCCTGGGATTTGTGGTGGCACTCATGGGGCCCTTGAAGCTGTATGCAGGGACCTTCTTCGCCATACCCGCTGTCAGGTGCGACTACAGTGCGGCGGACGCTGTCGGTTAGAAATGTTTAGGATGCCGGATTGGTGTGATCGTTCTGGGTTTCTTAGCCATTGCAGCCGCCCCCGCCTCCGCTGCCTAAGCCCTCTCCCTTACCCTCCTCTTTTCCCCCGGGCCCATGCACGGTGTTTCCTAACCGGCCCGCTTTCCAACCCCTTTCCCCCTCGCAGGTGGGTTCTCAATCAGATCCGCAATCAGGAGATAGAAGCCAGAAATGAGACACGGGAGGCCGCCATTGATGTGCTCAACGAAGCCGAGTCAGCAGCGTCCTCTGCACCCGCAGCCGCAGTGAGTGACAAGGTGGCCGCCGCTAGGCGCAAGGCACTGGCCGAGGGGCGGTCTGGGCCGCAGCTGGTGCGTGATGAGGAGATTATCTTTGACAGCGGGGGGGAGGCAGGCAGGCAGCTGGATGCAATGGAGAGGGACGACTGGGACCAGCGGCTGGCGCAGCGGGAGCAGGGGTTGGAGCGGGAGCGCTGGGGCCAGGGGCGGTGGTGAGGCGCCTGGGGGTTGGGGAGGGGAAGGGGCTGCGACACCGTCCAGCACATGTCTGTCCTAGCCCATGACCCCGCACACTGGTGGCCTCGGCTGCTGTCACATGACGGAAGGTGAGGGAAAGGTGGGGCCAGCTGGTGGCTACATCCAAATGGAGGGCTGGGGACGCTGTTGAAGAAGCCCCATGGCTCATATACATTTTTTCAAATTATCCTACATCTGTGTACGTATGTGTCTGATTACCGGAGATGCTACGGAGCAGAGAAAGCATGCGCGGGTACAACATGTAGCATGTGGTGTTGCATAATTCGCCTGAGCTTGTTGATTATGCGGATCTGGCGGCTTTATTAGGTGTGGCTGTGATACCCCTGGAGGGCGCTCCTCTTGTTCCCTGCTGCTGTGCCAGCCTTGTGCTGCCCATTACATTACTTGTATGATAGAGCGGCAGTGTTGTAGGCGCTTGGGGGCTTCCATGGTTAGCTGTTTTCTCTTCGCTAGTTCGTGCCTTCTTGAGTCCTGGATTAATGTAATTCCGTTCCTAATTAGGCATGCATGCTTGTCTCGAACCACCGGTGCCGGGGAAGGAGTGCTGTTCCTAGGCCTGCGAGGCAGGGACTGCTTAAAGAGTATGTTGTCGTCATATGATATGTGCACAATCATTGAATATATATAATGTTGGAGCGAGCCTGTACAGCACTCCGTGAAGAAGCTAATCAGCAGGTCCTGCTCCTCAAAGTAGGCCTTGCTGACCTCCTTCACCTTGGCGGGGGTGAGTGCTTGGACCCTGTACCAGCCCACGGGGCCGTCCTCTAGCTACTTGAGCACGCCCTGATTGTCCGCCTGCAGCCAGTCCTCGAGCTGTCGTCCCTGGGGTGGAGGAACTTGGTGGGCTACTTATCAGGCCCCATATGGCCAGCTATGAGAAGGTGACCGGGAAGTGCACGTGCAGGATATATCTTGCTGCAGTTGCCAAGCAGAAAGCCCCTTAAGTGCTAACCAACCAATAAATATGACTGGGCTCTCGCACATGAAACATACCAAGCATGGACAAGCACTCACAAAATGCCAAGCTGCAGGAACAACGATTGTGCTGGACAATAAGATCTCACCTCACATTTAATGCCTCAGAAGGCCATGGTGTTTCGAATTTCATTGGACAGAAGCGATGGCTTGTCCACCACAGCTGTCATCATTCTGTGATAGAGACAGGAACATAGTGATGTGAGCCATTAAGCAGAGAGGAGATACCACACTCGCTGCAAAGGAGGGATTTTGCCCTCGAAACTGAGGCGCCCCCCCAATGCCGCAAGCACAGATAGGTGTACCATGCATGCCGGCACAGCTAGAGTGTGTGCCCTTTCCTCGATCCTTGGCTGAGACCCTACATCCGTCCCCACAGACTGCATTCTGAGCATGCGGCGCCTTCCCTTCCCCGGATGAACTCACCCACAGTGCCTCTGATGCCCAGTGTAACTAATGTCTCATTCGCCTACCTTGAAATGCACGGGGAAGGCACCCTTGATGACCTCATAGGCATGCACAAAGCGGCACTCCTGTGGGCATGACTGCTCCAGCTCGATGGTGATGCATTTCCTCACCGCGTCGACTTCCGCCTCCAACATCTCCAGGCTGCTCGAGTGCACGTGCAAATTTTGGCGGGTCAGCACATTATCGGCCTCCGTTGCCACCTGCGCCAGCTTCATGTGCATGCCTGCCGCGACCTGCTGCAGCCCGCTGTCCCGCGCTTCGGCCAGCTTAGCGAAATAGTCGCTGGACGTCGTGCGGAACTCCTGGTTGCCGCAGGCGTGCAGGAGGATTTGCGTGGCGAGGTTGCGCAGGCGTGGCTGCCAGGCAATCGCCTCCCGCTTCTCCAGATCCGATACACGCGAAGAGAGATTCTGGAGTATTTCCAGAAACGTGCCAACAGGTTCAGTGACGGCCTGGCTCCCGACGAGGCGCGTCTCCGAATTTTCAACAGGGGCTTTTCAACAGGGGTTTTTTGGAAATGGGGGAGGGGCAAGGTTACCTAATAAATGTAAAGTACAGGATGCTTTGGTTTGGGCTTGTCCAGGATTTATCTAACTGACAGTCTTCTAAACTACGTGCAATATGTAGACTTCTAGCTGTTTTAATACCTTTTAATTTAGCCTCATGATCCATTTCCCTCCTCTAGTCAAATTGTCCAGTAGCCGCCGCAAATAATATTTGGCGATATACCTTAGCGACTATCAATGAAAAGGCCAAATAAAAGATAAATATAATCGTGCTTTGGAGGTTATAAAGAAAGGCCAGATTCTAAGTAATACGGTGATGGGATGCAGCTGCATGCCAGATTTTTTTGCTGCCTCGGACAACCCTTGCTTGACCTGCTCCTTGAGCAATTTACGGCCAGCTACTCACAACTAAACCACCTCTGCTGCCACTTTCACCGTACTTGCCAGACATGGTTGCTACTTTATATTATTGATAGAAAAACAGCTTTTCGGTGTAAGTAGGGGCTGTACGAATGGCTCGTCCTCCCCTTCGTGCCTTCCTGGCGACCCCAGCCTGGGCCTCGTCTATGCCTGGTTCAGAGCGAAATTTCCGGAACACACACCGCGGATAGTGCATTTCGTGACAACCTAGCGTGCCGCGTAGGATGTATGTCGTGTGTGGCTCGTGTCCTGTGTGTTTAAGTTTTGGGTTATTTCGGATCTGTTTTGTGTAAAGTCGCGTCTTGACTTCTGTTTTCGTCGGGTTGATGTGTGTTGCGCGTCGTCCGTGTACCTTCGAGTTTCCGTCCTTGGGTTATTGTGTCATCAACCGAATTTGCTTTTTCTGTGTCTTAGGCTTTTGGTTTGCGTACTCTTTGTGGATGTTTTGGGCACGTCCGTTTGGTTGTATACCGGTTCATTTAGACCGGCAGGTATAGGTGTCGTGCGCCATATTTAGGCCGGTATCCACCGTCACGATAGGCAGCGCAATCCTTTCTGGCTCTCCCTCCCATTCCCCCACGTTCGCCATCGAATTCGTCTCCGCCGCCCGCATGCAGAGATGCATCCGCCAAGCCAGCGCCCGCCCACCACCACCCTTGATGCCTCCCTGCACATCGGAGGAGCTGGTTCCGGATGCCTGGATGCACGTGGCCCCCGAGTTCCGTGGGATGGGGAACTGCTAGACGTGATGAGGAACTGCTAGACGTGATGGGGAACTGCTAGACATGATGGGGAACTGCTAGACGTGATCGAGGTGCGGACACACAAGCGGACGTGCGGCAAGGTCGTGCCCATCATGGTCCTTGGCGCGCCGGTGCTCAACGATGAGAGTGAAGTCGACTGGAAGATCATTGTCGTCGGCACCGACCACGAGCTGGCGGTGGATGTCGGTGATATTGCTGGCCTCGAATGACATTTTCCAAGGGGGCTTGGTCAAATCCGGAGGTGGCTGCGCAATCATAAGGCACCTGATGGCAACCTAAACCAACCTGCCCCCAACTCATACGGCATGCACGGGTTGCTGGTGGACAGTGCTGACATGTGTTCTGATATCATCGGGGAGGCCCATTCGGCTTACACCAATTGCGGTCGTGGTCGAACTCCGAGTCAGAGTCATTTACACGAGCGTCGAGGTCTAGGCCGAAGCCAAAGTCACAGTCAAGCCCTAAAAACGAAACCACGGCATATTCGCGCCTGAATATCACCCTTCTGTCACAGCCATTAGTTTGATTTCACACACTACCAAATACGTTCCCTTGGTACTCTTGAACTGCTTTGCTTTCAGATTCCTCAGCGTCACGAAGTTCTCTGCCATCCGCTGGATGATCATCAGGTCCGGGTTCTGTTCGTACACATCAAAGTCGCTGGCGCCAACATTCCCAACCACGCCAATTGCCGTTGCAGCAAACCCCGTGTCAGGAGCGCCCACGATTGTGATCGAAGCCACGTACGACCACCCTAGGAAGTAGCTCTGCGCCATTTTTAAAAGTTTTTCCATATTCTAGATTACATTTTTGCTGCAGGCGCGATTATTATACCGGCCCCTACATGACTCTTATTGGACCTGTTGTTGGATCTCAAACGAACGGCTGCTGCCGCCAGCAGATCACCATGGACCGTCGCGTCAGGGACAAAGCGGTGCTCCCCCACACCCCGTATTACGTTATAACATTCACGGAACTCGTTCAACAAGTCATGTGTGTATCGCTTCTGGCTGCGATCTATAACATGGCCGCCGCCACCGCTGCTGCCACTAGTGAGGACAGGGTAGCACATGCACATTGGTACATGAGCCTTGACATCCCTGAGCTCCAGGCGCAACAGGGATGGGTGCACACACTCCACACACCTCACGGTGTGCTCCACACGGCGCACTTTGCACAGCTACCGCTGGTGTGCGGTGGCCGGCAGCATGCACACGAGCATCTCCGCTACTTCACAGCCAACTCAGGCTTTGACACGAGCCAACACTTTGAGCCCCCCATCAGCAAACTGAGCCATCTGACCATCATGTTCAGGGACCACATGGCCCACCCACTGCATGAGATGGGAGACCACACGCTGAGGCTCGAGATCATCACTGCACGAGATGTTGTTCCGGCGCCGCTGCTGCCACAGCAGGTCACAGGCATGAAGTCGAGTCCTGCCGAACTTGTGGACTCGCCCAGGGAGCTCACGGCGGAAGATACCGTGATTCCAGGCTCGCGCGGTTATTCCTTACGTCCCTTTCCCCCAGCCCGCCAAGCACCAACCACCCAAAGAGTGCAAACTCACCTTGAGGCTGCCCATCTCAGTCAGCATCTGACTGCTGACTGAGCAGACACTCTTCGAGGCTAAAGGCGCCCCCTGATGGTCAGGTTCTCCCCGGGAGCCGACCAGACCGTCCAGCTGGTCCAAGAAGATGATGGAGGGGGGGCTGGCTCGGCCCGGGCAAAAAGTGCCGCGAGGGCCTGTGTGTGAGGATTAAGCAAGAGTTGGGAGGGGATTGGGGCTCCACAACACCAATACAAGGACACGCGGGACTGTGAGATGCATCATCCGCTAACTGGAGAGGATGTGAGAGCGGGGGCCATGACGTGCAGGGAGCAGGGTCGAACGGACACGGACGTGTCAGTCAGTCACCTCTGCACCACGTACTTGCTGACCATCTCCCCCGCTTCAGCCGCCAGAAATTTAAGACGGGCTTCAGAGGCCACTGCGCGGGCCAGCAATGTTTTACTGCACCCGGGGGACCCGTACAGCAGCATGCTGCGGGGGGCCTGCACACCAATGTGAGCCATGGCACTGCGGGCAGCCAAATGGTGCATGAGTCAGATCTGCACCCCAGGTCCGCTGGGCGAGCGTGGCATCTACGTCCGCTCCTTGCCATACCTGATACGGTCATGCAGACTTCAGTGTGAATACGACTCATATTCACACTGAAGTGTGTGGGCACACTGACCGCCACCTCCACACAGTCATTGTTACCGACGCCCCTGCCGCCAGTGCTCATGCACACACTGTCAGCGCCCCAGAAGGACTTCCTGGGCATCGACTTCACGCCGCCCAGCATGTTCACCATCCGTGGTGATGCTGTCACTGTCGGCAACCATGAGCCCGTGCAATTGCTACGTGCCCTAGGGATGCTGACTGCCGACAGCGCTGTCTGTGTCATGAGCACCATGGCCTACCTCTATGATCAGCCTGCATCGACAATGGTGGCTTCAACCGGTACGTCAGCACAGAGCATGCCGCATCCAACCGGCTCGTCTTCAAGTGTGATAGGCTCCTCGTGGGGACGGCATACAAGGTGCACCTACTCACGCTGATGCTCTCATCCTACAACCTGGGCCTCACTGCACCCATCATGGACATCGCGACCAACATCTTGCTCAAATCCTGCAAGAGTGGTGGCAGGTCGGCCGACGCCATCACCCCAGCACTGCATGAGCAGCATGGGGCTGCCTGGGTGGGTGGAAATCTGGCGGGGCAACCTCTACATCGAGCCGCGCGCAATCATCTCGGCGCAGGGCAGCGCACGCCCCCAGGACCTCAAGCAGGCGACACGCGTGGCGCTCTACAGTGAGTACAGCTGAACACATGCGGGCGCCGGCCTCACACGCAATCCGTACACCTTCATCATCGTCCGCACCGGCGCCATCATGTACGAGCTATCCAAGCCCATCCTGTACACGCACCACAACACACTGGGAGCAGCGTGGCAGTACGTGTTTGCAGCCGGCGGGCAGGACAGCGTGAGATGCCCCATGGCTGGTGTCACAGTCAGCGAGGTGGCGGCGGTGGTAGCTGTGCTGGCCTGGGACACGACCACGCCCATCAGCATCTTCAACGCGCCTCTCATCACGATCAACATGTGGAACTACTAGCAGTGCAAGTGCGACAGAATGTGGCTCTCCGCGACAGAACGTGGCTACCCATCATGCGCGGTGTGGCAGATTTCATAGTGTTCGCCTCAAGGCGGGTGACAACGCCCAGCAAGCAGTACTTCACACTTAAGAATGTATGCAGCCCGTCCAGGCAGCAGGGCACTTCTTAACACGCTCACGAACTACCCATGCATGCTGGCGCTGCACTATGCCATTGAGGCATCGTATCTGCTGAACACCGAAGTCAGGGGCACATGGAACATTGTTTGCTCGGGGTTGCATGTCCCAGAGATCCCATCCACTGGCATCCCCAAGTTTGGTGACGCCGAGCCGAGGATGAGCTCTTCCTCCATCACCGAGCCACTGCTCATCCTCACACCATACCAAAATTCGCTTTTTTTGAGGTGAACCCCGCACTCGACGTCAGTAGCGGTGCCAACGCAGTCCTGGACTACTAATGTGCACGCACATCAGCGCCGGACCACCTGAATAGCCTCGTGCCATGCGCACTCATCCTACCACAAGTCGCACAGTCGCTGCCCATCAATGTTGCTGCACGCTGCATCGGTGAATATGAGTGCTCATGCGGTTTCTAAACCTCTACACTGTCCAGGCCCATTTGGCAACCTGAGTCGTCATGTAGCCTACACTATGAACGACGTGACCATGAGCGCCATGCTGCTGCTCATGATCCTGTGTGGCCTGGCGGGCTTCAGGACCCAGGGGGTTGTCACGGGCTCCCAGTACTCTTACGAATGTTCCTCGTCTGCAAGAACACAGGCGCACGCATGCCGCTGAGCTGGCAGCGTATCAACGTGACCGGCTTTGACTAATCACCCTAACGAACTATCCAGAGCGGTTTACACACTCAGCTACGCCAGCTATTTCACGGGCGCGAACACCATCATCGATAGCTGGCCGTCGCCGCAATAGCCATAGGAGTGGAAGCACACGCAATGAGCCAGAGTGTTGCCACGCCGCTGGTCATGCCCACTGCCGCGGCGCTCCTCACACGGTTCCGGGTCGATAAGTACACACATCTCGTGGTGGAGCCCCATCGTCTGGAATCTTGTGCGGCGGTACAAAGCCAGCGTTGAATGAAAGTGCACCCGTGCAGCATGTGTGAAGGAGGTCATGCAGTGTAGCAGCCCACAGCGTACCACATGACCCACTGGAGCATGACCATGTTCGATGCTAGGGTGCACACCACAGTTGCGTGGACACAGTGTGTGGCTGCCGTCGAGCACGTCGTGGTCGCGAGATCACACGCCTGCACGAGCATGGTGTCAAAACTATCCGTACATCTGTGTGTACGTATGTATCTGATTACTGCAGATGCAAATCATGCGGAGCGGACGAAGCCAGGTGGTGGAAGGTTGAATTGCATGGGTACGACATGTAGGCGTGTGGCAAGCGATTAGCCTGAGCTTGTTGATTATGCGGATCTGGCGGCTTTACAAGGTGTGGCAGTGATACCCCTGGAGGGCGCTCCTCTTGTTCCCTGCTGCTGTGCCAGCCTTGTGCTGCCCACTACATTACTTGTATGATAGAGCGGTAGTGTTGTAGGCGCTTGGGGGCTTCCATGGTTACCTGTTTTCTCTTCGCTAGTTCGTGCCTTCTTGAGTCCTGGATTAATGTAATTCCGTTCCTAATTAGGCTCGCACGCTGGTCTCGAACCACCGGTGCCGGTTCCTAGGCCTGTGAGGCAGGGGTCTTGCCGCGCTGCACTGCTAGGAGGGCACTTTTGCATCTTTGGTTATCCCTATGCTCGGGTGGGGAGGGCTGGGCTTCAGGTGTTTTAGGTACTGTGCGGGATCAGCTGGCGTAGGTTGTGCCTAGATGCCGCGGGCGAGTGTAGGAAAATTGAGTGTTAATTCTGAACGATTATGTGATGTTTGGTGCCACTGACATTGGCAATGACTCCTCTTTATGTACGAATTCCTTGAAAGGATGTGATTTGATTTTGGCGCCTTTGGGAGGCAAGAACGGGTCCGTTAACGACGTCGCCATGCGGTTGTACGCGGAGAGGGCCCGCCAGCATTGACCATCGCCGGTTGCAAAAGCCCACAACGCAGCGGCGTTTCGAATAGCAGCCATGGTTAGCACATAACTACTGAACGTTTCAGTTGCCTTCGCGCCGGCGTCGCCTGCGCCGGCGGGCATAATAGTGCGAGGTAGGGAAGTGCAAGCTGCACACAGAGATACACATTTTCGTCTGTCTTTTCAAAGAAGAGGGCCCCGCACCGTGGGACCACCGCAGATCTTCGCGAAGGATTATGGTTGCGTCCGCTAGACAGACGGTTTTCCGGTTAACTCATAGCCAAGGACTGGCTTGAAATGCATTGCAAGTCAACGGTGCAACGCATTCCATACGGACGCCAAAGAAGCCTGTCAAGGACCGTCCGAGGGTGTGCTACCAGTGGGTGACAAGGTTGACCTAGCGCGCAGTGGGGGATTGACGTAGAAGGGCGAAGGTGTGAAGCTAACATGGCTACATGCGTCGCTGGTGCATCACAGTGAATCGACGCCCACCCTGCACATACGCGGCCGGAAATAGGAACGGACTGGCTGATGCAGTTCACACACTGCGATGGTTAGAACTACCACAGATCCAATGGAAATGAGGTCACTCTTGTAGGAAAAACAGCTGCAGTTGTGTCGCTGTGTACGAAGGTTAAGAGTGTCCAGTGTTGTTCCTTTCGGATACAACGATGCCTGTCCTCCGTCAGCTTGTAATGACTCCTGTGTTGGAGGTATCCTGGTTAAACAAGTGTGAACGTGCATACGTTGCTTCATGATAGAATCCTTAGCAAGGCGGGCGGTGTTTGTCGTCCAATAATAAGGAAAAGCCCGAGCTCCAGTTTCGTTCAACGATTTTCCCTTGCTTCCGGCTTCAGCTTCAGTCAGACTTCCAAAGCACCGTTTCAGGATTGGTTTGTACATTCCGTACCGCGTCGGTCGCAGACGATATCTTTTGGACCCTGAACAATCCTGTATTTTTTAAGTTAGGATGCATGAGTTGAATTAGTGTGCCTCAAATGGCATCTCTCACTGTACATAGGGTGGGAGTGGGCCTCCTCGAGCGTCTGGACGTTCCCTTGAAACTAGCTGCACCCTTGATGAGCAAAAATACCGATCAAATTAGCTCTGAAAGTCCTCTTGAGCCCATGACTAGCGCAACGCCTAGCACAACGTCAGAACCGGAGCAGCCTGAGCTCCTGGAGTTGGTTTGCTCTCCGCCCGCCGTGTCCAGCGTGGAGAGCCACTCCGCGACCTTCTCGTGGACGTCGCTTGGGAAGGTCCCAGTAGGATTTGTGGCAGCCTACACCATAGAGCTACAGCAAGTGAGGAGCCGTGACCGACGCAGCTGCCTCCGAGCTGCCCGTTGCACCTGTAATGGCTTAACACACAAATGCCCCTGTTGCAGCTGGACAGCCCTGACAGCATTAGCAGCACGAACTGGCTTTCCGTCTACAGGGGCGAGGGGCTTTCCTGCAAGGTTGGTTGGTGATTGCTCCCGCTTAAACACGATCTTGCAGAAAGCTTTCTTACGAACGAGCGCTGAAGGATTCGCCTATGATTCGGACAGGTTGATGACCTGAAATCTGGTCATTACTACGCGGCCCGGCTGGTCGGCAGCGTTGAGAATGCACAGCTAACTGAGGAAGCATCGGATACCGTGGGTGTGGAGATCCGTGTCCGGAATGCTGAGCATGTTTTCTTTCAAACACCAGCTACTGTGCCTTCGGCCATTCAGCCTCCGTCACTTTCGCAGCGGGCCCGGAACGCCCTTAAGGTCAGCAGCAACACGTGGTAGATTCCGTCACTTTTCCTTGGATTTTGAATGAATATGTGTATTTTTTGCTGCAGCTAAAATGGAACGTTCCAGAGGACTCTGGAGGGCCCTTCGAGCTCACATACGTGCTGGAAGTCAGCCCTGCGCCGTTGGGGATGGAGGATCAGCGTGCCCCCATGGTATGTTTGCATTCCCCCATGTGGTGTATGGTACAGCCTGGTTGGGCGACCGACGAGTCAGGAGGGTTGGAACTTCCAACAAGCAGCGCCACAGCATCCATGACGCAGACACAAC